GGTCAGCCCCGGCTCCTGCTGGAAAGTATGCCTGTGGGCGATGCCGCTCTCCAGACCCTGTCTTCAAGTGAGGGCTGCCGTCCTTGTTTGGGGATTATTGCCACAAACGGGAGCGTGGTGTCCTGATAAAGCAATAATCACGCTGGGTCAGCCAGGAGACGTGGGGTTAAGGCCACCACGTGGCCAGGCACATGTGCAGGTGTGCCCCAAACCCTGGCAAGATGGAGAAATGGCGAAGGGCAATGTTGTGGTCTAACCACACCTCACTGGGGTGCTCTTCCCCCTCCCCCTTCCCTGGGCATGCCTGAGGGCTCATGCACCCTCTGGCAACTAAAAGAAAAGTGGAAAACTTCCTCAAGGAGAGGAAAGGACTGTTCTTGATTCTGAGATGATGGGTTTTCTTGCTTTTTCTAGTGTTCAATTGTCTTTTCATTTTAAAATAGTGACACTAAATGGTGGTTGGGGTTTTTGTGTTCTCACATGCCCTTTCTTGGCAAAATCAAAAGCTCCCCACCCTGTGTTTACCCCAATATGTCTTCTGGCCATGAAATGCTGGGGCCTGGGCTGGTCACTTTCCCAGTCCAGCTCATTGAATGGCCTGCTCTCCTCCCGGGGTTCTGGTTGTTTCTGTGGTGCTGAGACCACCTCCCTGCTGTCACTGGCCACAACTCGGCCTCAGCTTCTGCCACGTTGAACTCCAGCTTCCTATGCAGACTCTGGTTAGAACAGCTGCAGTTGCCTTCACGTGGCCTGGTCTCTCCAGGCCAGAGTGTTCTCTGCATAGCAGCCTTAACCAGCTGGTCCCGAGGCCCCCAGAACAGCCGTCCCCTAAGCGGACGTTGTCAGAATCTCAGGTTCCAAATCCAGATTCCTGGGCCCCCACCAGACGCGCCACGGCAGCATCTCTGCTGCTGCTTACATGCCTCTGGTGATGGGGCTCTCACTCCCTCTCGGTAAATCGTCCCTTCGCACAGTTCCAGCTCTTTGAAAGTGTGCCCGTCTGCCGAGAGATGGACCTGGGGGGTGGGCGCACGGCTCTCCAGAGCTTCCTCTATGCTGCCTTCCTGGGGGAAGGAGAGGTTCGATAACGAATGCCTGGAAGTCCTTTCACTTCCTTCCTGGCAGCAGAGTCCTGTCCTCGCCATTAAGAACCATTTTCCTGGGAACCAGCAGTTGGCGTAATGGCTATGTCGCTGGACTCCCACGAAGTCGACTGCGGTTTGCGTCCCGGACCCGGTGGCTTAAAACTCACGCCGGGCGCGTGTGCGTGCGTGCCCAAGATCCCGAGAGGAGAATGGAGGAGAAGGGATTGCGGTGTGGCCATCCCCCCTGGGGGGTGATTTCTCGCTTTCTGTCTCTCTGTCTCTCTGTCTGTCTGGTGAGCGCACGCGCCCTATAGCAAAAACCTCTCAAAAAAAAAAAAAAGAACCATTTTCCTATGCTGGCTCCCTGGCCTGACGCTATGCTCCCGCGTGACTGTGCAGATTGAGTCCCAGACCTGGCGGCTTGAGAAACACATTGAGGGCACCTGGGTGCGTACCCAAAGTCCCGAAAGGAGGGAGGGACGGAGGAGAAGGGACTGCAGACTGACCGTGCCCTACGGGGCTCTCCTTTCCCTCTCTCTCTGGGTCTCTGGTGTGCCCTCTAGCTAAAACAAACAAACAAACTAGAACAAAAGATACCTTTCTCCTTTTTCTCCTTTCCCCCCTACCCCCACAGAGTGATTTCCTCTGTTCTTTGTCTCCGTATCAATGGAGCCCAGCACCGTGTTCTCTGGTGCCCGGCTCCTTTTCCTCAACACCTCTCCTGTGAGAGTGGCCTTCGGCTGCACGCATCTGAGGTTTATGCTGCCTTCTCTACTATGTGCGTGCGTCCATTTGCCCCACGTCGCCGAGGTTGCTCTTACTCCACGGTGTGTGACCACAGCTCGTGAAGTGACTCATCCTGCTGCTACCCAGCGATTTGCTATTGTGATAAAGCCACTCGGCATCTTCGCATTCATGTCTTTTTTTTTTTTAAGGTTTTTGTTATAAGGCATGTGCTCTCGCCAGAGAGACAGAGCGAGAGAAAGTGAAAAATCGCTCCCACGGTGCTGGCCATGCTGCAGTCCCTTCTCGTCCGCTCTCCTCTCGGGATTTCGGGTGTGCACGCGTGCCCAGTGTGATATTCAAGCTGCTGGGTGTGGGATTCAAACCACAACTGGCCATGTGGGAGTCCAGCACTTTAACCACCCTGCCACCTACTGGCCCCTGTTTCTATCTTTTGATGGACAGCAGCTCTCATTTGGGGACATAGCCGTGAGCGGAACTGCTGGGCTACGGTGTTGGCAGAGTAGCCAGAGCAGAGCAGCGGTAGTGGGTGCTGGCGAGCAGTGGGCGCGGGGCCGTTTGCCATTTCGGCCCATCAGCAGCGCGAGAGCCCAGCTGCCCCGCGCTCCATCTACCTTGTGTTTTTAACTGGTTCTTTTCCGTAAGCAGGCGAGTGTGTTCGTGCCTCATTGTGCCTTTTAAACATTTATTTGTGCCTTCCACGGGAGAGGAAGAGACAGAGCACCCTCAGCAGGATTCCGATGCTGCCCTGGGCCCCCAGCCTTCGGCCAGCCCCTGACTGCAGGCACACACACTCAGTGTGCTCAGGCCTCGGGCTTCAGCCGGGAACCTTCCCACGCGGCTGCCTGCAGAGCACCGTTCTCCCACCGCCTTCTCCCACCGCGCTCTCCCAAGGCGCCACCATCTGGCTTCTCGTGCTTTTCACGTGCATTCTCTGCCGGGTAGTGAAGAGAATAACGTTTGTCGTGTGACCCCTGGCCATTGGGACACTCTCTTTTGTGGAGTGCCTGTTCAAGTCTTTAGCTAGTTTGAAGGGGGTTGTCTCTAACTTACTGATTTATAGAAATTTTAAAATATATTCTGTAGGGAGCGCCTTCAGGAAGGTCATGGGAAGTGTGAAGTAGGAAGAAACCATGCATGGATTTCAAATTTTTTTTTGCACCAAAATAAGTGCATAGTTTAATTCCATTTCTCCATGAGCTTACTGAATCCCTGTCCATGAGTCCACTGCCAGGAGTATGGATTGAGACGGTTTCCTCCCAGTCCGTGGCTCGGCCTTTGAACTCTGAATGGTGTTTCGATAAACTGAAGTTCCTAATTTTAATGAAAGATCTGGCCATCTCTCCTTTTATGGTTGGCGCCTTTTCTGTCCTGTTGGAGAAGTTCGGCCAGCCCAGTCTCAGGTTGTCCAGGGCTGACCACGGT